CCCCAAGATCACCCCCCATTGCCACCTTTTCTCCTTTGCCTCCCCCACGCCCCAGAGCCACCTGTGGCCCTTTCGATAACGGGTTCCTGTCCTATGCCGTTCCCCCAGAACCCGTGTGAGAGCCTCCGGGGCCATCCTGCCGGGATGACGTATGCTGCCAACATCCTACCTCACCATCCGGCCCGAGGCACTTTTGAGGACTTTACCTGCTAAGCCCTGCAGGCCACTGTACCAAAGGCCTAGATGGGGAGGGCTAGGAGAGCAAGGGGGCCCCCAATTGCCCTCTAACTTCTGCCCTGGGGTCCTACTCCCGCCTCCCAAGGCAGTGCCCCTCTCCTGGGCAGTCCTTTCCTCTTGTCTGTGGTGAGGAAGGAGTCTTGACCGTAGAATCCTCTCCCTATCTCTATCCCATTCTTTTTATTTTTAACAAAACTAATCAAAAACAAACAAAAAAACTAAAAAGAGAGAACTGGGCAAATGACCTCAGGCTGCCCCTCTCTGCTCCATGCTGCCTCCCCCAGCTCCCAGCCTGAATTCTATCTATCCGGCTGTCTGTTATCTGAATGTCCACCTACATTCTGTTGCCACCAGTCACCTAAGCCCTCTCTTAGTGGGGGGTGAGGAGATCCTCCAGGTCTGGAATTTGGCCCCAAACCAGAGGATATACCTTGAAGGGGAGGGATAGTGGTGGTGGTGAGGCCTTCCTCAGCCTTAAGAGACCCTCTCAGCCCAGTGACCACCCCACCCAACCCCAAGTCTCCAGGCAGGAACTAAGACCCTAGTACCCCACCACCACCACACACATATACCATGTGAAGTCACTAGGGAGGTGTGGGGGTGGGGATCCCCTGAAGAAATGGAGATGGCAACAAGATGTGGCCCTGGTGCTGTAGGCCACATCCTGATATCTACAGGTTCACCCCCTCCCAGAGCTGCTGGAGAGAAATCCCAAGAGGCAACCCTCCTTTACCATCCCATAAAAGATCCAGCTGGTTGGCTTCCAGCTCAGGGAGAGGGGCACTGGTGCCTGACCTCACTGGTCCCTCTCCCAGAGGCCCATGCAGAGGGCCACATCCATAAATTTTCTTATGGAACTGTCTCAAGTCCTCTTCCCCAACTTCATTTGCTTCTCTCAACAACCTCATCTGCATTTTCTATTTCTATACGATACAGACTCTATATTGCTATATCTCTGTATATACTTTCCCCTAACTCTGTCTGTCTCTACCGCATCCCCTCTTGTCTCTAAGAACCATCCTCCTACCCCAAGTTCCCCTTCCTGTGTTTCTGCTCCCTCCCTGGTCTCTGAATGCCTTCGCCTGTATAAAGAATTGGACTCTCTCCCCTGGTGTCTGTACTGTGTACACACATCCCTCTGAGAAGCACAAGGAGACGACACGCGCATTGTAACCTTCGCACTGTCTCGGTGGCGACATAAAGGAAGCTGTGAATCACAAGCTCTGCCTCTTTCTGGCCTCACCCTCTCCTCCCATCCTGGGCACCCTCTGCCCTCCCTGCAGCCTTAATATCCCCTCCCCTGCTCGACCCACCCCAAAGCCCTTTGTCTGGCTGACTGTGGCCTCCCCAAGTAAGGGATTGCTACAGAGAGGGCCCTCACCCAAGGGATGGAGATCTGCTCTGTACAATAAGCCAAAGGCATCAGAGACAGAGAAAGCTGTGGATCAGTGACTCCTGCAGGGTGCTGACAGGCAGAAGCTGAGGTTCTCAGTCAGTGGCCTTTCCCTCTCTCTGGGTGCCCAGCCTCCTTTCCTCGCCTGGTACGCAAGCCCATCACTTATTTTCTGGTGAGTTACGGTTTGATAATGGGAGGAAAGAGACCTAGAGGAGAAGTCGAAAGCTCTGCTGTTTCGTCCCTCCCTTCCTACCTTAAAGAGAAATGAGTGAGGTAGAGGGCCTGCCATACCCTCTCCTTCTAGGCCGGAGCCCTGCCCCTTCCCAGGCCTTCTCTGCCCAGCTGTCTTTTGGTCTCTAACCCTAGAACGGGACCTGTAGCAGATAACCTGTGCATTAGCCTGGATCTGGAAAGTGAGGCTATAGGATCTCTGGGAACTCTTAGCTCTCGGGAGTTCCTTAGAAAGCAGACCTCTCCAGAAGGAAGCAGAAGCCAGGCCAAGGGGTGTGCACCAGATGGAGAACAGCAGGCAGGGCTATGGGTGACGCATGCCTCTGGTCTAATAAAATGGGTTTCAACCATCTCCTCTTCAGTGTCGTTATTCTCTTATTTGTATAGAATTTAGGCCTTCCCATTAAGTGCCTGGAGTCGAGCTTGGCTTGGGGCCAAACAATCAGGGTAGGAAGAAGGAGGCTAGAGCAGAGAGACCTCCATCCGCCTGGGATGGAACAGGGTGGCTATCACGCCAGTAATGGCTTGAACCACTGGACCGAGAAAGAGGGAGGAGCCAAAGGCAACAAAGATCCCAAAGAGAAGTCCTAACACAAAGGATTCCTTGGAGACGGGACAGGGTCAAAATTCAAAATAAACTTAAAATCTGGAAGGTTAGGTTGAAAGTCAGGGACAAAGTTGGGTTGAAGTTTTAGTGTGAGATGGTTATTGAGGCACTTAATCTGTGGGATAAGCCCCAGGCTACGAGCTAGAAGATCTGGATTCTAGGCTTTGGCTTTACTGCTAACTTGCCAAGTCATTTACTCTCTGAGTTCAGCTTTCCCGTTTGTAAAATGGAATAAACAGTGCATTCTCCTGCAATCCCCCGGGCTTACAGCAGTAAGAGATGGAAACGAAAAACAATCAAAAAGCTTTGGATACTTGAACGCACTGCGCAAGATAAAGCAGTTACTCCATCACCCTCTTCATCAAAGCATTGGGGCTGAGACTGTGGTCCCCCTTTCCAAGGCCTGTCTTCCTCCTGTAGGCCTGGGGGCGCCCGCTCACGGGGCCTCTCTATCCCAGAGCTCGTCTCTATGGTTTTCCCGTCCCGGACCGTGAAGGCGGGAGGGAGTGGTCAGCACGCCTTTTCCGCTAGTCGCCCCCCTCTAGCCCACAGTCTCGGTGCCTGAGTCCCCCGTGCCGGCCGGCCGGCCGGGCGGACAATCGCGGGGGG